CGAGAAAACAGTCATTTCTCTGTTATGTATAAGACGTTAAGTACGTGTTTTTTTTTTCAATTTCTACAGCTTATAGCAGGCGACTCGATGACAGGACGAATATGTATGTAGGCTTATTGGAAAGACAAAATATTCAGCTTTCATACGAGTGGTCGATGATGTAACTTTCTTAAAGATTTGTCGAGAAAATCACGAAAAACTGTAAAAACTGAATAAAAAACGAGAAAAAAATGTTCTTCGGGTTATAGCAGGCGACTCGATAACAATACAAGGATGTATGTAGGCGCGTTGGAAAGGTGAGATCTTCAGCTTTCATACGAGTGCTCTATGATTTATTTACCTTTTGGGGTTGTCGAGAAATCCACGAATAACCAAAAACACTCAAAATAAAACGAGAAAACAGTCATTTCTCTGTTATGTATAAGACGTTAAGTATGTGTTTTTTTTCAATTTCTACAGCTTATAGCAGGCGACTCGATAACAGGACGAATATGTATGTAGGCTTGTTGGAAAGACAAAATATTCAGCTTTCATACGAGTGGTCGATGATGTAACTATCTTAACGATTTGTCGAGAAAATCACGAAAAACTGTAAAAACTGAATAAAAAACAAGAAAAAAATGTTCTTCAGCTTATAACAGGCGACTCGATGACAATACAAGGATGTTTGTAGGTGCGTTGGAAAGGTGAGATCTTCAGCTTTCATACGAGTGCTCTATGATTTATTTACCTTTTGGGTAAATTAACGATTTGTCGAGAAAATCACGAAAAACTGTAAAAACTGAATAAAAAACGAGAAAACAATGTTCTTCAGCTTATAACAGGCGACTCGATGAAACTATTAATCAATTTATTAATTGCTTTTACGATTAGATTACTGTTACTGTGTCGTAATAGCAAACCGGTTTTAAATAAGCAAAACAGAATAAAATGCAAGTCAAAGTCGAAAGTAAATATTGTTCGTAATCAGAGTTATAAACTGCGAGTCTTTAAATATAAAATTACCATTAATAAACTTATAAAAATCATGAACTGTATTACAGTGTCTTTGAAGAGTGGTGTGCGTACCTTGCAGTTTAACAATCCTAAAAAGAAAAATGTTTTTAACGTTGAAACCTTCAGAAAGATCGCTGAAATCTTAACAAAAGATGTCTCGAATGACGACGTGTCTGGGACAATCCTCACCGGTACTGGAGACTATTTTACAAGTGGAAGCGACCTATCGCTCGCACTTAATCATATGAACAACGTGGAAGGCGCAATTGGCGAAAGTCTGTCAGCATATAAAGAGATGACCGAAACTATGATCCGATACCCCAAACTTCTTGCAGCGTTGGTAAATGGTCCGGCAATTGGTATTGGCGCGACCATGTGCGGTCTCTGCGATTTAGTTTATGCGACGGAAAACGCTACATTCACGACGCCCTTCGTTAAATTGGGGATTTCAATTGAGGCATGTGCAAGTGTTCTGTTCCCAAAAATCATGGGCTCTGCAAAGGCGAACGAGATGCTCTTATTGGGACGGACGTTTACAGCGAAAGAAGCTTTGCAAGCGAACCTCGTATGTAGAGTTATTCCTCAAGCAGATATCGAGAGTTTCAAGGAGGATCTGCATAAGAAAATAGGAGAATTGAATGTTGCGGGTTTTATAAATAATAAGAAACTGATGAAAGAGAGCACGCAGCAAGAGCTTCTTGAAACATTTCTGAGAGAAAACATTTATATCGAAAAATCGTTGAAATCTGAGAGTTTTATGAAAAGCATGCTCGAATTCGCTAAGAGAAAAAAAAATGCGTAGTTTGCTCAATTCATTCAACGTTGGAAACAAATATAGAGAAAATCAATTTCATTTCAACATTGTATAATAAAGTGTCTTGTTTTGTCTTGCGACGACTGCCGACGTTTAACAAGATGTTGTTTTTCTCAATCGTAGTCTTTTTTCTAAATTCATGGATAATTTCTATCTACCAGAAAAATCAAATTATAAATTTGCATTACACGAATAAACGAAATAAAGTTAATTTGTTTTTATATAATTTATTTATGATTTTATTTATTCCAAACAAAAAAAAAACAATACCAATTGAAAAACCGCATAATAAAGTGGTAAACAATAATTATTTCAATCGTGCATTTGAAATAATCACATTACTAATACTAATTAACAAAATTTAACTATTACTATAAAACGAAATACTTTTTCAAAATATCGAAAGAATATTTATATTTCTTTTTATTCTTTTATAAAATTGGATAAAAAAGGTCAGAGTGTCGAAAAGGGTTGAGCTATATTATCTAAAACAAAAATACTTCAATTACATAATTTCGGAATAGATGACGCTGATGATCGCATTTGATTCAAATTCTTTTTTTCTTTTTCTTTGTTAGGATAAAATTAAACACCGATTGCGTTGAGTTGAGTTAAAATATAAAAGTAATGCAGAATGCAGCAGTAGAAGGCAAGGACAGGTGAATAATAATAATTGTAATGTTACCTTTATTAAAAATAACAAAAATATACAGTTGGCCATTGGAGTTCATCGATCAAAGAAAAAAATATAACAGAAATATATTTATATTGACAAAAAGACGTTATTCAAAAAAGAAAGAATGCGACCAATGGATTTATTTCATTATTCTCTTTGACACGAATGTGAATCGGACATTCAGTTAAAACGCAATAACTGTCGTTCTTTTCGTCGATTATTATCTTGCATTAAAAGCCTGAGAGGAAATTTTTGGGATGGATTCGTTTTCACACGTTTGCACACGCACACAATGTTCTTCGTCGTCGTCGTCGTCTTCATTTTCGTATATATAAGCTCATCTCATGCATCGTGCTGAGAATAGCATTTTTTTATTTATTTTTTTTTAATTTTGTCTTTTCCATAGCTGCTCTATCTTTTATTTTATAGTAAAGAATAACTTTATTGAAATAATTTTTTTCTTTACAATATCACAAGTACTTTTAAGTTTGACATGTTGTTCTTCCCACCCTCCCTTTCTGTTCGTTTTTTTAATTCCACGCAGTTCAAAAAGAACGTGGAAACGGACAGAACAAAAAAAAACGTCGTTCTCGTTTTCTTCCTAAAAATACAAAATTCCGCTCTCGCTTCGTTTGAATATATATGTATATATATATATATATATATGATCATCATCTCACAAACTTCTTTCTTCTCCTATCTCCACAAAAAATATACATTTTCGTTTAACAGAAAAATAATAATTGTCATCAAAAGTAAAAGTACCATCACGTAATCAAATACATATATCAACAACAACAAGAACAAAAAAAAAAGAAGAAAAAATATATCGATCATCGTGAAACTATACGAAAGTAGTAGAATGCATAACGGAAAACGCACTTTTGTACTTGGCAAATATATGTGTATATAAAAGAAACTTAATTTGTAATTTGTTTAAAATGAACAAAGACTTGATCGGCAACAAAAGTAAAAAAAAAAGAAAATAAAATAATAATTAAAATAAAAGTAAAACTGAAATTTAAAAATTACTTATAAGAACAAAACTTAAATTATCCCAACGATTTCCCGTCCAAGTAACAATTTCTTTCTATGTTTTGTGTTCATGTGTATGTGTGTGTATGTGTATGTGTGTGTGTATATGTGTAGTTTTGAAAGAGTTTAGAAATATTTTAAGCTGTTTCTGTTCTGTTTTCTTTGAAATTTATTTGTGTACGGTGTCTTACGTGACGTTATCGGGGGACATCGATGCACTAAGTATTTCATCGTAGGACTGTTCCAAGCAATGTTTCAATTCCGCATAACTCACAACCAATATACTCTGTTCGTCTCGCGACATTAAGCAAACCTGAAATTTATCGATTCATAAATGAAATGAATAATATTATAAATTTTGAAAATAACTTCTTACTTTTTCTGGCACTCCGGTATCCAATTTGTTGAGGCACTGTATCACATGGGCCATATCGAGCCAAGGACGACCGTCGTCCATCACCTGATGGAAAACGTAATCTCGGAATAATTTCAACATGTAACGATCGCCGGTCTCCGACCACGTCCCGTCCAGGTTGAATCTGTAGGAAATACATAGTAGCACAGTTTAGTAATAATACATCGATGATTTGGGGCGGTAACAAAGAAAACAAAAACAAAAACATTACTCTGGTCTCTCGTTGATCGTTCCCAGCTTGACCATAAGCCTGAACAGACGGCCGTTTTCCATCTCCTTGGAGACTTCGTTCTCCATGACGTCCGTACGCGATTGTATGTTGTCCAACTGAGTGTAGAATCTGGCGCCGATCATCGGCATCAGATCAGCGAGTGTTCGTCTCCGATTCGACAGTAGATACCTGAAGACACAAATACACACAGAGTTTAATGACGATGTTCACTTTTTAACATCGCTTTGTTGTTACATGATCAGATTTCGGAGGTCCTGCGTGTAAGTACGTGTTACGATTTCGATGGCAGTCGCGATATTTGTGTGCTGCACAGCCATTGTGGATTTGCAGGCGATGGCCAGTACGAGTTTGCCGAGGGCGGTGAGATCTTCCTGCTGGTAGTGCTCGGTGACGGTAGCATTGTCGGTCATGATCACATCCATCACTCCCAAACAACTCAACCTCAGTCTGTGGCCGGAGGTGATTATGATTTTCGTCGGATCCAGACTACGGCATGCCAGATCTAAACACACACACACACAATATATATAAATGGTATGTAATCGGACGTAATCTCATATTGTTTTTGTTAATTACTAGCTGCGTGGATGATGCGGAGCGCCGAAGTCAGCTGGATGATGTAGTTCCAGATGAGCGGCTCCGGGAGTTTATTGCTTTGAGCGTGTCGCAGGATGTTGTTCTTTTGATGGGAGTAGGGACGCGGTGTCGTCGGGTCCGATGCGAATGGATCCGAGTATCCGTTGAGCTGATCCGGCGAGAAGTGCTTGTTCAGTAACGTCTCCGAACCCGGATGGTAATCGTACACGAAAACCATAGCTGCAAATCAACACAGTGGTTGGTGATCTATACTTTTCATCAACACGAACAACTATCAACTATAACTTACAATTATCACCAAACGTTTTCGTCGTGAATACCTCTTTTAATTGGACAATATTGGAATGGACGAGTTTCTTCCACATCTCGACGTAGGTCATGAACTTCGTGTTTTGCAAACGAAATCCTGAAGCATCGACAGCATTAATAATACACTCATGCATTTCCTAAAAATCGAACTCACCGTGTATTCTTCTCAGGCAATACCGCATGCCCGTCTTGATGTGGGTGGCCTTGTACATCGAGGCCTGATAACCGATGTGAGCTTTATGTATCAGTATCGGTTCCAAAGGATATAGATCGTGATAGTTATCTACTTCATGTGGCAGTTCTGAAATAAATTACATACAAAAGTTGTAATTTAAAGAGTTTCTTACCAATAAACCACCCAATGAAGACGTTTATTGTTTACCTGAAAATTGATCGGGGTCAGCTTGAAGCAGAGTTAGAGCGTTCCGGTTGAGTATCTCCACGCGAGTATCGTCCGATATGAAGAAAGCGGATGAGCCACCTTTCGATTTCAGAGTGTTGACGTGACTCGGAGTGCCTGGATAGACCTGATAGCTCGAGGCAATGCTGCTGTTTAGCGAATTCATCGTTTCGCTAGTATTGTGCGAGTTGTCTGCTGATGTCGGATAGAAGTATGTTGTGCCGCCAACGTTTTCCTAAAAAAATAAATAAAACATATATAACATATAAAAAAATTCAATAGAAGAAGTTAAAAGTTAATTTTGTAAATTATCAATATAAATGTGTTTGCGAACTACAATCCTGATTTTAAATTAATGCACAACACAGCATTATTAATGAAAGTGTTTGGCTTTGAAAGACATAAATAAAAGTAAAGTAGGTCAAGTCCAACAGTTCCTTTTACCTGATATGTAGCTACTGTGGGTTTCTCCAGGCCTGGTATTGGGGAGCAATTGTTAATATTTGGAGGCGGAGATGGCTGCGGCGTTATGTGTGGAGACATCGTGCCGCTGTGAGGGGAATCCACTATACGGGGGTACGAAGTTTGCTGCCCGATGACTGGAAACGAGCTGAACAGATTCGGCGACGCTGAAATACAGTGAGAGAGAAACACACACACAGACATTTAGAACGAGTTACATGAATGAAGGATGTAAATTCAAATTACCAGAATTACTTGAATTGATCACTCGAGAGCCAGGGATGAACTCGGGTGATTGGGGCATAACCTTTTTGGAAGATAGTGGTGAATCTAAATTAATTTTTGCAAACGTTTGAGACAGATTGTTTGTGCCTAGTGGCGTGCTTGTGCTTTGGCGGCTCTAGAAAAATACAAACTCTTTTTTGTTTTCGTGCTCCCAAGCTGCTGCTGAAAAGGGGGGGGTGGACGGCCGCTGATTGTTAAACAGAGGAGGATTCTTACTCACCATATACGTATTGAGTTTGGATTCCTGAGGCACTCCGTTTGATACAGAGTAAGGCATATAGATAGGGTGATCCATACCCACAGGCTTCTCTGATGTCCAACACTTAGATTCCGCTATCTATGGTACAGGGAACATTATGTATTTTCAGAGAAAGATGAGAGAGAGTGAGTGAGTGAGAGTACTTTTTGCACAGTTCAGTAAGAGAGTAGACACCACACACACACACACAAACACATAAAAAAAGGTTTGAGTGAGAAAGTGTGAGGGACAGATGGGGAAATGAGGTTAAAGAATTGGAGGGGAAATTTTCAATTGGGTAACCTAAATGTTTTCAATATTTACCATTAAATGACTAATTCGCTAAACATCGAGTTCATTATTTAAACTATGTCATAATGGAACGGTGAAGAAACGGTGATAATTGCGACACAACAACGCGAACAAAAAATACATCCAAACGAATAATTTACTGGGCTATTGGAGCAGACCTTGGATGAGTTCTAACAACTAACAGATGATATCCGTTTCTACTTTTTGCACGAGAACCACCGACAAGGACTGAACCACACACGTACGCTTTGTTTTCTCCGCAAGTTCGAAGATGGAAAATCTCAGTTTTTCTCTTTCGCTTCTTTTTTATATACATATACGTGATGTATTGCAACCAGAATCAGAAAAACTGACAAATGTCATCTACGTTGTCTCAAAACAAAAGCCTGAGCTCACACACCATTTCGTTCCCTTTGGTCCGTCACAACTTGGAGGGCGCCACCACTGATTATCTGACACCAAACTTGACCCCGTGTATGTCTGCTGCGTCTGCTGCTGCCAGTGCGTCCAATACTGAAGCACTGAAGAAAGAAAGAAAGAAAGAACACCATCACCCATCACCATCTCAACCTCATACGACCAATAGCAAATAAAACAAATATTTCTTTTCTTTTTTTTTTTCTATCTTCTTCTTCTCCATTCAAGACTTTTTCCTTCGTTTCTTGTTGTTTTTTTTAAATTTTATTTTCTTTATTTCATTTTGCCAAAAGTCAAAAATTCTAATATCTCTTTATTTTGCAACAGTTGCCTCTTCTTCTCGTTCAGGATCTCGTGCAGCGATACATTCTTGAATCTCTCCTCTGGCGAGACTTGAACCGCTTGAACGTTCTCCTCAGGACATTGAGAGTTCTCGTTTGAAGGGCATCCATCGAGTTCCTGCTTAATTTGGACCCCCAACGATTCCACCGTTTCCTCCTTCTGCTCCTTTTCCTGTTGATCCGAGAGTTTCTTGTGCAGCAAACTGCTCAACTTCTCCTTTACATTCTCAGATTCCATAATAATCTCGCATGAATCAGCCAGCTGACTGCCTTCTCTTGTCAATTTCATCAAATAGTAGTTCAAATGTACCATGTTCAAAATTACCTAATTATTATTTATGAGATTTGAAGACAACATTTAGAAAGTTACTATTAACAATAAACTTATTCAATTTCCAATTTATAATCTAATCCCTTAGTTCGAATGCTCAGTTTTTTAATAATCACAAATTTTATACTTTAAACATGTTTTTTTTGTTTGTTTTTTAATTAAAAGATATATTTGAAATTACATTATGTTTGCTTAATGTGAGTAATATTGATGACCAGCGGCATCTGTTGTATTAGTTGGATACCAATGTCGCGGGAAATTTGAAGAGAGACACAAATTTAAAGAAAATCATAACAATAGAAAGGAACAATTATTAAAAAGACAATAACAATATTTAATTTTAACGATTATATTTATAGTAGCACAATTCATCCTCGTGCGAAGCTAATTTATTGATATATTTCTTCATTGATATTTAATTGTTAACAGCATTTAAACATAGGCAACGTATTCCTAGATTCCACTAGTCCTTCGAGTGGCTGGCTATGGATGTATCAGACTGATCTCGATCTTTTAACACGTTTTCCAAGTCAGAAACTGCAGCAGATACCTGGAACAGTCTCAGAAACACGTCTCCCAAATCACCATCCTGATTTGTAATTACGAAGCAATCTATAAACAAAATATTCATACATTCGAATGTAATAGTTATTTGTATACAAGTTGTATATATATATATACATACCACTTTTTTCCTGCACTAATTTCTTACAATAAATATTTAAAATTAAGACGACGTCATCCTCTAGGTCCATATTGCCCTCGCTGCACAGGTGTCCCCTGTTGTGCTTAAGAAAAGAGAGGGAAGCTGACCATTTTTCAGCAGCTACAAGCTCGTATAAAGCAGTTTCCAAATCGTCGGCGCTACCCGGAGAAGGAGATGACACCGTTGAAGATGATGCAGGTGTAGGAGTACCTCCATCAGCCTCGGTGTCTTCGATAGCGGTATTCAAAGCGTTTAAAACTACCAGGACTTCAGAAGTAACATCGTGAAACTGAAAGACATCAAAGACGGTAGTTTTACATTGGGGACGATTATCTCAATTTCGAAATGCGAACCTGCGAAGTTTTCAGAGTGTTGGTCAACGTTGTGATCATTTTGTTACCGGCTTCGATAAGCAGCAGCAGCTGGAAATGGAGTTTGTACAGAGCCTTCCCAAGATCCAGCAGGTAATCCTCGTGCCTATTGTTGGCACTCTGAACGCTCAGCTTCAGCAAAGACTTCACAGCGTTTGAATACTGAAGAAAGGTTTTTTTTTTTTAAAAAATATTATTATTAATTATTGGGGAAATGGAATAGGATCGGTTTTACCATAATGGTTTGCTCCCTCTTCTCACAGAACATTTCCAAATGCTCTTGGACTTCTAGCATGCCGTACCTCAGACTTTCGCTCAACTTGGTGCTGTTCAAAGCTGCACTATTGAACCATATAAAGTGGATTGGCAGAATGCGATTGGTCACGATATCTATGAACGCTGACAATCGAGAATTTATAAGCTTAACTGTTGCCCCTTCGTTCGCTTTCCCCAAATGATCGCAAGCTTCCGTAGTAATTGAAATTGCAGATTTGGACACGCTCTGAAAACATGCATTCGATTATAAATCAACTTTGCATCCAATTATTCACAATCCAGTACTTTGATCAATTTTTGAAGCTGATGGAATAGGAGTAAGGTGTTGGCGGATGTTTGCGTCAAATCCGTTTGAAGATACGAAGTCCAGGTATCCAAAGTGTCGCTCCTCGTAATTGGCCTCATATTGATTAACGTAGACATATTAGGTGATGTGTTACAAGGTGTTACATCGCCCAGATCTCCAGCGCTGGATCCGCTTTAACACAAATTGAATTTAATACTTATTATTATTTACTAATATTTTATATACAAACCTTGTATCTGATCGAGCGCTAGAATCTTGCCTAGTCCTCGTCAAGTTCAACGAAGATGGTGGGAATTTCGTGCTTCCCGCATTGGAACTACTCTCGAACTCTGGAACAACTACGATCTCATCGAGTGGAGATTCGGAGCCGATCTCATCATCCGACGATTCTTCGGCGACGACCCTCTGCAAAAATATTAATTATTATGTAATATAATTAATTAATGTAATTATTGAAAACCCACCTTTCTTATTGTCAATACTGGCGTTTGTTCGCTCAGAAGATCTTCCAGTTGTCTTAATACACTGCCTCCTTCCTCCTCAACTTCGCAAAGATGTCTTCGCCTCACGCCCCAGTTAAAGTTGTCGGTGCTTTCACCCTAAAGTCAAATATACCAAAATCTTCAATCTTCGTTCCTTAAGAATCCATCAATTCAATTGAATTACCTCAATACTTTCGCTCTCGTACTCCAGGAAATCAAAGTCCTTGAAGACGCCAAAGTCCGCGGTCGCATCGTCCCTTCTCGATCCGCCGCTAAGATCATTGTTACCTGCCGATACCTCTTCAGTACTCGAAGCCATGCTCGACTGTCTCTCCAGTATATCAGAGTTTTGGCTAAATATCACCTATACCAAATACAAAAGAATAGAGTTAAACGATATAACGTGCACCGCGTACGTAACCCATCCGCAAGATGATGAATTGATTGTTGGTGTAATTAACAAAGAGAACGAAAAGAAAATTATAGAAACTACATACATTGTGCATTTGCAGTCCAATAACAGTGTCAGTGCTTGTGACAGAAAAATAAGAACACTAAAAAAATTACATGCACTTACACAGGATTCTAGATTATTCTCACATGTGAATCAACAACAACAACAACAACAGCAATAACAAAATTGGTCAGAGCGTGATATTTGCTGCTTCTTGTATGTTAATAAAATCATCATTTCGATGAATTCGCTTCTTCAAGAAAAATAATCTCTTCCAATGCAGAAACACAAATACCAGATGATATAAAAATTTCCATGTTTTTCAAAAAAATAAAAATAAAGTAATAAAGTAAAAAAAAAAACACAATTACAACAGTGGGCAAACATGTTGTGATTTAGTGATGTAGTACGTAATTCTTTCGCTTTTTGGTTCTTTGAATTGGTTGCTCGTGTGTGAAGGAATATCTTGTGTATGGGATGTTGTTACCTTTGAGTATATTGTACTAATGATATCGTCCTATGAGACACGCAACAGAGAAAGAGTTCATATTAATTATTTCAAACATGTAGAGTAATAGATGTAAATGGTCCAGAATAGAATATAAGAAGCCACAAAGACAACAAATAATCCAATTAAAAAAAAAAGAAGGAAAAGTGTGCACATGAAAGCATAAAAATAAAACTATTCGCAAAAATAAAATCCGAAATTGAGAATTACAAATAATAGTAGTAACAAAGGGAAAGGAGAAGAAATAAATTGAGATATTAATTTGTCACCTTTCATGCTCATTCACACACAAACACATACACATGGATTAAAAGATACAAAACTGGGCTGAAGAGAATAGTAATTTACGAAACATTTATCTTCGACGATACGTATATCACCAATTAATACTCTCTCATATATACAGTGGAGATATATAAATTATGTAAACTTATTGAAATCTATCTTGTTTGTTAACATGATTAAGAGCTTCTTTTACAAGTGTTAAAAACTATAAGAATAAAAAGAAATGATCCTACACTGCATTTAGACCCAACTGAATGAATTATATGTAATGGAAATACATACAGCGATGTAATGAAAAGCATAAAATTTAATGATTGTACTTACAGATGGACTCTTTGGTAGGCCAACTCTTTGGCCGCACGTCGTTAGCAAATTAACGAGACATTCTCGAACGCGTCCCTGGATATCAAAGAATTGATTAGTGTTCAATGATGATCAATGAATGTAAAAAGAAGAATAATAATATAAATACCTGCGCCATCCAAGGTCGCTTCCAGCAAGAAAGCAGCCCGGTATCGGCAGGACTAAGAGAGCAGGAACGTCTCGGAGATGCGACGGAATTCACTGATGGATCCAAGTCGGGCAACTCCAATTTAGCCTCATCAGTGGTTGCCACCTTAATCAATCTTCTGCAGATTACGGGCGTCTGCGAGAGATCGTACGTAAAATCCATGGTTCGACCTACAAATAACATAAATAAGTTTTCCGTTTTCTTCAAGCGGACATATTGTTAAAGCACCTGGTAATTCTTTCCTGGTGAAGACATCGATCTCGCTGAAGGATGGATGCGGAACGGACGTTGTTACAGTTTCCCAGTGGTGTATGGACGTGGGTGGTGCAACCAAACTGCTCGATCTCGTTACAACCAGCTTCAAAATTTTCAACGATTCCTTCCAGTGAGCTCCTTCAATGTACTTGGCTATAACCCTGAGGAGATCGGCGTTGATGGGTTGCGCTGCAGCCGAGGCCAAATCGACGTAGTGCAGCATGCAGTGGAGGATGTTCAGCACGGGTAGCTGAAGATTCGTTGGACCTTTCTCGAGGACCTCCACCAGGAATGTGAGCATGTTCAGACTGAGATGGGCGTACGTATCGTACAGATACTTGATAACGCATTTCGTCCATTGGAAGCTCTCCTTGCTGAACGTGCGACGGCTGTACAGATTCATCACAGTTCCCAGGTTTTCAAGCTTCTTGCTCTTCTCGATGCTCACCTGAGCGACAAAACGCACACTTGAATAATTTCATCGATTCACAATAGCGAGCGACGCATTACCTGAGCGATATTCTCCGCGCTGCGGATGCATAATTCATTGGCGTCCTCGTAATTCAACAGCATGTACGGCAGCAGAGCAATCACGTTCATCGGGAATGCTATACTTTGCGAAGGATCCACTACCACGAAATCCAAGAGCGGCGTGAATTGGGAGAGCAGCGCGACAACAGGTTCGTAGATGTTAGGATGTGTACAACCCTTTAACATGAATCAGGATGGTTATATCATTGAAATACTTGAAGGAGTATATAACAATAATTGAAGGCGAAGATTTGTGAAGGTGCTCCAATGCTTTGTGAACAAATGAGGAAACATGCTAATGCAGACCTAAATAGTTAAATAGTGAATTTTGGACAATAGCATGAACATCACGCCACCTGTAAATATAGTCTAAACCTCTACCACAATCTTATATGCTTAACCACATCCAGGATTGATACTGACTAAATGGTGTTTAGTTATAAAATATGATCTTATGAATATAGAAAAAATAATAAATAAACAAAAAAAAAACACATAGAAAACATAATTGGAAATGATGATGATGTTTCCTTTTGAATTCAGAAGGATTGCAGAACTAAACACGAAATGTAAATTATTTAAAAGAAGAAGAAGAAGAAAAAAAGTAATAATGTGCATGTGTAAATAAGAAAAAGTTTTCAGATATGATCCAAGTAAGAGAAGATGTAAATTACCTTTAAAAGTAGAGCGTGTACACCGGGGAACGAGTTCCACCTGAGCTGCGCCTGCAACTTCTCGACTTTATCCCTGGCATCGGGCCTGTCGAGAGGAAGGCGATGCATGACCCTCGCAAGCAGCCTCAGGGCCAGCAGGAATTCGTGCTCGTAATCGGACTCGAGCAGCGAAACAGAGAGCCAAAAGAGTTGCGCCAGTATCGTCATCTTGTCATCCTGTGTGGCCGAGTCGCCCAGCATCTTCAGACTCTGCGCCGAACGAGATCTCGACAGATTAGAACAAAACTTTTGATTGGAACCGGCGCGATTCTCTACCTCCGATCCAGTGCGGCATCTGATATCTTTGCCATCGCTCGCCGGAGACCCGGTGCTCTTCCTCGGGCAATAGCTCACCGAGTAGCTGGTGCTTCTCGTGTGACCGCTCTGGTTCAGATAAGAGAAAGATGGCGCGATGTCGGCGCCGCCGATGCCTGCGCTGTTCGGCGATCTCTTCGATATTATCAGTGACTCCTTGTTGTTCAGATTCGGCGTGGACTTGAAGAAGTCCCTCGTGAAGTCCAGCGGTCGGAAATCGGATTCCAGGTACTCGACGGCGGATTCGAGCGTCAACAGCAGCTCAGTAACATAGCCTTTCGAAACATAAACAGAAGGTGTAAGTAATTATGTTGAACTTGCTTGCATCATTAATCTCGCATTTGTTACCTTGCATGTCTTCTCCATGCTCTGCGACGGTCTCCACCAATCTGCTCAAGATGTCGGAGAGCATCCGCGACGTGATGGGCACCCTCAGAGCCCTGTAGATTTGCAAAGATCTACCAGCGTAATGCCTGGACGAACAACTCAATCCAAGCTGCAGAGCTGTTTGCGCCCACCGCTCGCTGATGTGCGCGTTCCTCACCGAATCCTGGAACACCCGCAGGACGTGCTGCAGGAAGACGTCGATCTGGTCGGCGCTCCTGACCTGCCACACCTTCGCAGTGATATCCTCGTACGGCCAAAGCGGCAGGTTTTGTCTGGTAGCCAAGAAATCGATCAACGATTTGATCACATCCTGGATGGGCATGTTAGGACCTATTTCAGGTCCCGTCCATAACGAATTATCCTCTCCAGTCACGATAACTGGTGGAACAGTCGTCGCTTCCTTCTTAACATCCCCTCCTATAGAATCACAAACTTAAAAATCATTGCTATTAACGTACCTTCAAGAATATTTACCCGTGTTATTCGTATTATTGCTTTGAGCTTCATTAGCTGAAGCCGGTTCTACGTTAGCGTTCAATGTCATAGTAGGACCTTGCAGGTAACTATCGAAGGCTGGGTGACGTTCTACAAATAATAGCGACTAAATTTATAAACAGCTATCGCTCTAAATTACAAACAGCTAAACGAAAAAAAAAATGCCATGGAAGAAATCGATAAACGTACCTGTGAAAGTATGCTTAACGACTGGTAGATTGGGAATGGGCAAACCGAGACCCAGCATGTTCGTCTTGCTGTTCATGAGGATGTGCGCAACGGAAAGATGATCGTTGTGCTGCGCCAAGACTATCAGCAAGTTGAGAAGCAACTGCTTGCAATGCTGATGTACTAAAGATCTGGTGTGGTCCAAACCTAAGAACAGGATGTGCAGCATCAACGGCACGTGGATCGTCCAATCGAATTCCACGCCGTCGACCACAACATCGCATAACAGCATTACAGCCACGTTGCACCTTCGTAGATACGTTTCGATTAGAAACAAAATCAATAGGGTAATAGGGTAATAAATTACCTGTGGAAACCTGAAATCGGCATGGAGCTGTCAGGTAAGTATTCGGTTAGAGGTGCAAAGAATCCGCCGTACTCAGGCATCGGCAGTGGATGCGGCGGAGGTATGGAGATGTCGTATTTGTCGGAGGGTGCTACAGGTCTGGAGAGCGAGAAGAGATCCTCGGAATTCTGCAGAGCAAATTATTGGAAGCACGTATTAAATTCGTGAATACATGCAGCAGATGATAGATTTGTTTTCCCCCATTAACAAGTTTAATTAAGCCGGTTTGCAATTTGGCTATGAATATTTTACTGCGGAGAGACGATGGAATATAAATCGCATATTTATACGAAATTCTCAATTTGTGTGAGCGGCTTCCAAAAATGTTTTCAACACAACAACAAGGAGAAAAACGAAACAAATATTTAAAATAATAGATAATGGGGAGAAAATTACATCTCGGACTGGCGAATATTTGAATTTTACGTGCATACTTTCTGATGCTTTCCCGGGTAGGGCAGTAGCAAATATGTGTATATGAAAGCCCCTTTGAATTGAAGGGCACACGTCGCATTCATTTGCATTCACTTACTTCGTCCGTAGTAGGAGTGCAAATATCCTCGGACAAATTCTGCCTGTTTTTCGGTGAATTATAATCCGGCATTGCTTTCATGGCCTGCTCCGCTTTCGGAGTTCCGCATTTCGTCGGATCCTCTCCGCTGTGCCTCTTCGTGTGAATCGTGCCCTTTTCAACGCCTGCAATTTAAAAACAAACGTCTCACACATTAAAATCCTATACAGTTTCTCTTAATAAAAGAATACGAATAAGAGAAAATTCATTTGAATATTAAAAGTTTCTGGAATATGTTAATGTTTCCGGTTCCGAATTTCTTATGAAAACAATGAGCAACTAGTTTACTAATGGAGTTCCTATTTTGTGTTTGGTAAATATTACTTTAAGCACGAAGCAAGTTCCTTTCCAAAGTTTATATTTAACTCTTCGTAGTTGCTGCTGTTTATACAAATATATTTGTATAGACGTTTACCTAAATCAATTCGACTGCAGAAATCTGCTTGCCCGACGACTCCACCAGCACCGTCCGAATGACTGGAGGCCTTCCTCATCACGGTGAGACGGTAGAACGGAGGCGTTTCCGTCCGTTCGATGAGGCAATTGAGAGTTTCGACCGTTTGAAGCTCGAACATCATCTCATCCAGAAGCCTGATGTGCGCAACCCTCGCCAAATAAAGAATCACCCTTTTTGCCTGCAAAACATGATTTTATTTTTTCTTATATAACACGATAAAGACAATACGCACGTATGGAAGCAGTTCGTTAGGTGCCATCCCCGAAATGATGATCAGATATCTGATGATGACTTTCATGTTGTTGGGCCAGGAATTGCAGAGAGTGGCCCAAACTCTTTCCATCTCGTCCGGATGGTTGTCACCGAACTGCGATAAAAATTAAAATAATACGATACGAATAAAAATAACATATTAGGAAAGGCAACCGTTTACCTTTGCCGTAATGTAAAATATATTATTCAGAACCATTTCCGTGGCTTCGGCGGATCCCCATCCCTCTTTGCGTCTGCCCGATTTTCCCTCGTTTGCATAAAACTAAAAATAAAAAAATATAAATGAAAACGCGAAATGTTTATTTAAACTGTCTCTCCACGCATAGGAAAGAATCGCTCAACCGAATTGCTCACTTGGTAATAGATGATGGAATTCGTCGGAGGAACATTAGGATCGACCAATTCCATGTTGTGTAGCCACGGAAGAAGGTATTGCAGCAGCAACTGCCGGACCTCGGGTCTTGCAGTTTGAAAACGATAAGTAATTTCTGCAAAAAAAAAAAAAAAAGAATCATTCAGTAATAAATTCAATTAAGACAATACAACATTTCTGGTTGGGATCATGTAAAATGGTAAATGGAGATATGTTTGCAAGAATGAAAAGCAATGAAAAGAGAATTACTCCCATAAGGAGATACAACATTAGATTCGAGACGGAAACGTATAGAATCAAAGTCGAGTGCATAAACATATGAAACGTTTTTATCCCTCGGGGAGCGTACGTGCCTATGTTCCATGTGCTTCGAATAGATCGAATAAACTGATGTTTGCACGATCGTATCTTTATATCCGGGGGATGAAATGCTTTCAGGTAAATATACAAATCTTAATATTTCCTATTTCATCAAGCTTCGGAAGAAACCATTCCACCCTTTTACAAAAAAAAAAATGAAAGAAATCCAAACGTGATCACAACTTCTTCCGCCGAGATAGAAAAAAATATAAATCAAACCGAATGTATAATGTCTGCAATGATGCAGTTTTCATCCGGCATTCACGGAACTCGTCTGAGCGAAAAATTGCAGTTTCGCAAACAAACAAACAAGAATTTAAAGCATTCCGACGTTGAACATGAACAAATATTTTCCAAAGTTTTAATATAACCTGAAAGCGTGTACCGAGGAAGAAAGACAACTTGCTTCCAATGATGATGATGGTGATGATGATGGATGGGCACGTTAATTGATTTCTCGATCCGCGTCCACCATATTCTCTTCAAACGCAACATTTTTTTCTTTTTTAAATTAATATTGTTGACGCTCTCTCTCTCTCTCTCTCTCTCTTCTATTTTGCAAATAAACCACGCTCGAAAGGAGCGCAGATGATGCGAATGGGGGTTGGAGTTGGGGTTGTGCATAATTCTTACCGGAGAACATGGGCATCGTCAGTTCCGGATGCAAATGAGATAGTTGACTTGAGAGATGTATCTGGGAACGGCAATAAGTCGTCGCTAGAACGGTGTCCAATGTACTCCGTCCTTTGTCACCTTCAGCTGCAAATTTAAAAGACAAATTTAAAGAATAATTACAATTGAAAGTGGAGCAACTGGAAGCAAGAAGCTTCATTAAATTTTATATTTATCCCCGGGATTTACTTGCAAATATCTTATAACTATTAAATTCCTACTTTCATCAAGTTCTAGCAAATATTCTAAAGTCAGTCCTTGACTTGTATAATAAATAAATAAAAGAATAGATTAATTTTGTAATTCGATATATTAATGCAAATAATACTCTTTGGAAATATTCAGATAATCCTTTGATCAAACAATCAAGTGTTAATTTCTACCAACTTCATTTATGAAAATTAATTTTTAAAAACTTTATTTGAAAAATAATAATAATAAAGTGGCGAATGCTCGCAAAACTTGTGAATTATGAAATATGAAAGGAGTATTATGCAGCATTGTAACATTTATAATTGGCAATTGTGCAGACACTCGTCCTCATTACGAACAAACAAACTCGGAATTATTCTATTCCGAGCTTTATAAAACTTATGGATTGAATTTTTCATAAAAATGAATATGAAATAGAAAATTAAAAAAAAAAGATCCTCACAACTCGTTATAATAATATAATTAATTAATAGAACAATACAAAACGTACTAATTAATTGATTGATTTATTTAAATGATGTTGCGCCACGTGCAACATTGATTTCGAAATCAATATAAACGAATAAAATGCAATTACTTACCAATTATTTTACCAATGTTTCCAATAAATTCCTGTTAAATTAATTACAGAGAGTATTTTGAAAATTATGATTGAAATAATTCAGGGAAGTTTATATATTTGAATGAATAAATGAATTTTATTAGTTTGCATATTCAAAATAATAAAATCTACTTACATAGATTACATACGCTGATAGATTTCTACTTTATGGTAGAAAAACAAGATTTTAGTAAGCGGAGTTTCGAACTCTAAGTTCGACTTGTTATTTCCTTCGAGATCAGAAGCTCACTTAGTTTTCAATACTATTTAAGTATGTTGTTTATTTGATGTATAATCATTTATTAAAATAAGTTTGCTTTAATTAAATGCAACCATTTTTAATTTTGTACACTTTTATTGATGACGAAATAAAAAAAGGACAATTTCATTACATAATTCATTAACAAATTGAGCTTCGAAATATTTATAAAAAGAAAGAAATGAGTGAATACGAAAAAGTAGGAAAAGTAAACAATTTGTAAATAATTCCATACGATTCATACATTTCACGCGAATTCGTCCAAAGAAGAATGCGTTATGATTAATCGTTTCACTTTTTTTTTTCGAATTCCGTTTTGTTTTGTTCTTTCGGACATGATTAATACTTGTTATACTGTTAATAATAGTTAAGCAATCTATTAAAGGAGGCTCCTCTCAAATGAAAGATTTAGGATTCGGTAGAATTAAACTTCCCAAAGAAAAAGGTGCACGACGAGACGCGTAACAACAAGAAAGAAAGAAAAACGATGAGAAGACGACGACTCCACAGGTTGGAGCGAGTCTGCGTAGCGTCGCGACGCCTCGCAACATCAGTGATGCTCAAGCAGTCGCGCTTCCGCTTCTCGCCTGTTGACACAGCATCTTGAGCATCCCCTCATCAAAAAGAAAAACTAATTGGGAAATGCCCGAAAGACGCGAGCAGAAACAATAAAATGTAGTTAGTTTCAAAAAAAAACAAAAAAAAAACATAAAACACTAAGTGAGTGAGGACCGAACTCGATAAAGTTAAGTAACAACCTCAATGTTAATTGAATTAAAGTGTAAAGTAGTAGTAATTTGCATTTCGTGTTAAATTAAAGCGTTCCAATTAAATCGAATGTCTCGCTTGCACATCGTAATCTCTGAAATTAGTCTCTCTGTCTATCTTTCTTGATCCCTCTGTTGCACGTTTAATTGGTGTTAGATTCGTGTAGGTATTTGACAAATAAACAGGACAAAAGGCGAGCAATTTAAATTTCTTTTGATCTGCACTAGCCGGGGTAGGTTTCTCCATAATAATTAAATTCTATTATGAAAAAGATTCGATTTTCATTAATTAGTAAAAATTGAACATCACACGAACGAAAAATTATTGTAATAAACTAATAAAATGCATTTTTTATTAATTAGCAAAGAAATTAAAATATTTTTTAATTAACAGTAAAGACCTAAAACCTCGTAAACCAATCGTAAAGATGAAAATGGTGCGATTTAAAATGAATCAATGGAATTACAAAATTTTAATACTTAATACTAAGATCAAAAAACTTTCTAGCTCAATTTCGTGTTTCATTTAACGTTCGTAAAGAAAATGTACCAATAATTATAATAATGTATATTTAGATTTATAAATTTCATTTAACCTTTGGAAGAAATGGAAGATATTACATCATTATCGCAAATCGATAATTGTAAATGTTTTAACATCATGTTTAGAGTTAGATAATAATGTTTGAGTGTTTACTGTTAAAGCTTTTGTAAATCGTGTCGTGGTTTTTTTAGATAAAATCTCATCTGTTGCTTTTGACAGAAAGACAGAACAATAAAAGAGTAATAATAATAAAATTATGTTTAGATTTCATATTAATAAATAACATCGATATAAATTTATAATTTTATAAGAAAATTAAATTAATTCATTCAAAAAAAAAAAACAACAACAAAATAAGTGTATAGAGTATAGAGACATTTCTTCGGAAATAATTGGAAATCTCGAACGGAGAGATTTTATAAATGGAAACCATTTTGATAGGAAACTAATTGTATTCCGAGAATATTCCGAATACATTTGATTTTCAATCACAATACATATTTCTTTCTTCAAGCATGATTATATTATATAATTCGTAATGAATATTCGAGTTCCATTCCATTTTTCAATTCAATAACGTTCTTTATGTATTATACATTATTTTAAATAAATAAATAATGTGATAATAGTAATTTCGGAGTCTTGGCAATTCAATATTTGTTTATTTCTTGGAAATATCTAAATCGATTGATCGTTAGATCCGGTAACAAATTGATGTCTGTTTATGCGGTTACAAAGGGATCCACTTAGTTAGTTAGTGTATGCATCTAGGATTACTCATAAACCTACAATTATGCATGGATTTTCGCGTATTAATTATCTGCATAAGATATCGTGCATGCGGACACACACACACACACACAACTATTTCATAGAGGTTCAAGTATGCAGAATGCAATAACATTAACGTAATCTCTTTCTATCTGATCGAGTTAAATTATTATTGATTTTCGGTCGATCTTCATAACACAATATACGTTCTTCAAAGATATTTCCTCTAAACAAGGTGTCTTGCTCCAAAACTAACTACGTGTAATCCGTCCTATACAATCTGGTTGTTTGCTAATTGGGATGTGCATTCGGTGCAGCGAACACGATTGCATCGTGCATGTCAAAGCGCTCAGCAGATTTAGTTTCCCATTTCAAATGGTTTTCGATGTTGTTTCAATTTTGCTCGATATGAATATATTCATTGCATAATGCATAATAATAATAATAATAATAATGAGCAGATATTTATATAATATAAGACTCTGCAAGTAACACTTTGGGAAAAAGATTACGTCTCTCGTTCTGTTCGAGACACACTCGGATAATATCTGCGCTTGATTGAACATTCTAATTAGATTACTGTATAACAAATATTTATGAGAGCAAAAAGAATGGAGATCCGCCGTCTGACTCCCGTTCATTTCGACGATACTCGTCCTAATGGACTGGAAGTAACCAGATACGATGCCAACAACAAAGCCATTTGTCTTTTTATTTTTAACGCGATTATCTAAATATTTTTTGTGTGTATAGTAGAAATATGTACGTATATCTCTTTCCAAATCACAATTCTCTCACACTTAACAACGTTAAAATTATGAATTGAATTTGAAAAATGAATGATTTTATGGATGGTTCTAATTGCAGTGATGTGATGTGATGTGATCAGATGAGATGAGATAAATTGGACAAAGACAAAGATGAACGAGTCGGACATGAAACACCACCATTACATCTTGGAGGTGTTCCAATATTACTACACCCCGATCCTGGTGCACCTCGGGGCTCTGGGAAACGCTCTCTCCGTGTACGTGATCTTCAGGACGAAGCTGAGGAAACTGTCGTCTTCGTACTATCTTGTTGCGTTGTCGATCAGCGACACGATTTTCCTGATCACCATCTTCATACTGTGGCTGCAGATGAACGGCATCAACATCTTCAACAAACCGATCGTATGTCCGCTGATGATCTACCTGTCAGGTGTGGTGGGATGCATGAGCGTGTGGGTGGTGATGGCCTTCACGGCCGAACGCTTCGTCGCCGTCATGTATCCACTGAAATCGAAGTTCATGTGCACCGTCTCGAGGGCGAAAATCATCATATTCACACTGCTCTCGATAGCGATGATCGTCTACAGCCCTCAGCTGCTCTTCGCCGACGTCATCGATCATCCGGTGACGAATAAATCCGTGTGCGACGTGAAAGCCGAGTGGCAGAGAGAGGCGCACATCTTCAACATCTTCGATTTCATAGCCACCTTCGTCGTGCCGATGTCCGTCATCACCGTGCTCAATGCGTGCATCATCAAGAACATCTGGAAGTTCTCCGAAGTCCGCAGGAAGCTGACCAACACGAAACTGGAGGGAAACGCGGCGAGATCTCGCAAATCCAAGAACAAATCCTCGCAGAACCTCACCAAGATGCTGGTGATCGTATCCACCGTTTCGGTCGTCATGAATCTGCCAAGCTACATCTGCCGGATCCTAGCGTACCTCATCGCGGTAAAAGAAAAACACTTACACTAATATTAAATAACGGAGAGAAACGGAGCGCGCTCAAAGAAAGTTTATTTGATTTTATTCCATATTTCGTGAAAGAAACCGTAAAACTGATACACCCTTTTTACGTTAGTATTAAAAATCCTCAGGTTTCAGCAACCTAATTCACAAAAGCTCGAGCTCGAGCAAAAGCAAATATTTATAGAAACATCAAGTGCGGTGCGAGAAAAGCTTCATTTTTGATTGAGCCCCGTTTATGACTTATTTCCCTTCTTCTCTTTTTTTTTATATTTTTATTTGTTTACAAGCTCGTACATTTTACGACGACGACACACAAACAAAATGATCGATAAACAATAATTCGAATCGAAAAGCGGCAGATGAAAGGCTCAAAGCGGTGCGAGTGTGTGAAGCAGAGAGGATAGAAAAACAAAAAATAGCAACAACGCCATAGAAAATAGTAGCAGCATTTTGATTTTCAAAAATTGTTTTCGCCGGTTTGACGGACATACATAAAATGCATTGGTTTTTCCGAAAATGCGTGCACCGCTCTCACAGCGAGAACCGCTTTATATTTATATAATTCGGACACTGTTTAATGTAAGCCGCTGCTTACTCAATAATTAAATAAAGGAGTAGTAAATAGTCCCAAAATAATAAGCAGATGCCTTGCGCGTTCGGACATTAATGGCCAATGCTCGGGTCTTACACTCAGCAGACTTGTATCTCATTATTTACGTGTTATTATATTCAAACAGCAGGGGACAATCGTTTCTTGAACTGCGGCGAAATTAATGTTGCATTTTCGACTTTGGGACGTAGAACTTGTTATGAACTATTCCGTTCATGAACTTCAATTAATGTCGTCGAAATAGTTGGATGGAAATGAATTTAATTTTCAGGCCGACGTCCTCGGTGTTCCTGCTTCGATGATAGACTCGTTCATCCTGTTCCAACAGCTCAGCCAGATCCTGTTCTACACGACTTTCGGGATCAACTTTGCACTGTATTGCATCAGCGGACAGAACTTCAGGAGATCGGTGGCCACGGTTTTCAGAATGTGCAACAACGACAGACCTAGCGAAAACTCACCTATGCCAGGTAATTAATGATTCATTAATTGCAACCGCTAAATATTAATGGAATTTAATTAACTCGCAAGTTTTGTGCTCTGTTTCCTCGGTTTCCAACATCGAGTTAGAAAATCAAAGTTAGACAATTATAAAATCGTTGCGTAATTAATTGCATGCGAGAATTTAAGATGGAAGTTGGTTGTGTTCGAGTGCGGTCCAATGGGACTTGAGGAGCGACGAAAGTCAATCAAAGCGGAAACAATTTAATCAGAACGAGAGAGAGAGACAGACGTAGTTGTAAATAAAGAGAAAGAGAGAGAGAGAGAGAGAGAACGCAGTCACGTTTATTGCGAAGCACTGAAATAAATAAATTGATCGTAAATTATTCGCCAGGGTGCATTACGCGGAAAGCTGAAACGGTTGAACGTGGGCGATCACTATTTACCCATAAACATGAGTTTTAACAATCAACAAAGCCCATTTATGAAATATTCCCGAGGACGGCTGAACTCTCTCTCTCTCTCTCTCTATACCTCCAGGGGTTTTCAACATATCCTAACAGCACAGCGGATATTTAATTTTAGTGCATAGTGCATTCGCAATTAAAAAAATAGCGACAAAACTCTGAACATTTTCAAATAACTAATAACACATTTCAATGAAAGTTGATTTTTTTTCGTTTATTTTAACAAACTGTTACTTTATATCCATTGAGATATTGAAAAAGTAACCACGTTTCGCAATTATATTTCCAATCTATTGTGCAAATATTTCGTTCGTAACGAGCAAACAAAGTGAGTAACACAGATCGAACTTAGACTTGAAGCATACAAATCAAAACAACGGGAATGCATCATTATTGCGAATTCGAATCGCCGCTGCACTTATATTATATATTAATCGAAATTTAATTAGTCGTCAAACAGTAATATATCGCATTACCTCGACGGCAATCGATTAACAGCGGTTAATTAATTTCCTTTTGCAGATAACAAGACCCAATCGACTGGATCGACGGGTTCAAAGAAGAGGAGAACGCCGACCAGGTGGGTCGAGGAGGTCCTTTGAACAATTGCAAATATTTTGTCCGTTTTTAAGGGGTTTCCGTATACTCCCCTGTTCTGTTTATGTTTTCGTACAAATCTGTTGTGGAAAACGTATCGAATTTCATTTTGTAAACACTTCAGAATCGAACCACTCTCGGCGTTTTTGAACCGCTCCGACCTAAGTCAAAAACGTAGTTAGTCATGATAAAACCCGACGCATCCACCGACGTCTATGTACTCAATGTCAATGTTTCAATGTTGTGATATTCCGTAGTTGTTTGTAGCTGCTCTACGTGTTGGAACCTGTTGAAATTCCGGATTCCCATAATTATTAAAATTTGCTTATTGATTGCAATTATGACCATAGTATATAATCGTTAAATAAATGTCCAATGATAAATGAATTAAATCTAGTAGCATTGTTCTGTCAGGTTGTCGGAGCAGATTCGAGTGTGTAGATGAAATCCAAAAACAGAAATCGAATGTAATTATACCTGTAGTGTAGTGTGTTTCAATAAAGAAGAGTTCGTTTCGTTCGTTCACTCTGTTTGTTTGCTTGCTTTTTGTGTGACGACACCCGAGTAGAACGAAATGTCTTTGCTGAAGAAGCTGAAACGGAAGAGACGGTTGCGGCACAATTTCAGCTATCCGGAGCCGCAAAGGAAGAGCATGTACGACGTGATGTGCGCAAACATGAAGTTCGCGGGTCGCGTGACTTTCGTACACAGGATCATCTACATAGGGGAGCATTCGTTTCCGCAGTTCGATGATGAAGACGAGAACATCAGCGACCTGTTCAGAGAGAACATTCAGACTGTGAACTCGCAGTATTGCGAGGAATATTTGACCGGTTTCCTGCTGTACTACACCAAGTACTTCTGTCACGTGGTGGAGGGTTCGGAGGAGAGCATCCACAAACATCTTCAGATGCTGCTCACGAATCCGGAGACGGCCAAGCATTTGGGCAGGATGAAGATATTGGTCGCTTATCATCATATCAATCAGCGCTTCCTGAAGACCTGGACCGAGATCAACGCTAAACCACCGACGCTCCTCGAGAAGGTCGACAATCAGGACATCAGTGCGGTCATGGCCAAAGTGATGATCTGCTTGCAGAAGTTGTACAAGCTCGGTATCATTCTCAGACCGACGGAGGCCGGCGCGGAGGAGGAAAAGGAGGCCGAGGAAGATCAGCAGGTCGCATCACAGGAGCAGCCGCAAACGGATCAAAGGTATTCGACGTGTCGAAGGTCTCTGGCTGTTGTCGTCTCGACCGTCTCGAACTTCGACATAATAGGCAGACCGGCCGACACTCTGCCCGAATGTCAGCTGCTGCAATACCTCTTGGACAGCGAATACGTTCAAGACTTGGAGGATTACAAGAACAGCTACGGCGTCATCCCAGTCTACATGACGTATTTGGAGCAGGCATGGCCCGTTAGTAGCGATTACGTTCCCAGAGACATATTCGTGAAGGAGATCGATCCGGTTAGCGATATTCCCGCGGACATGAGGATCTCTGTTATCGTGCAAACCATATAGCATACCAATGATTATTACTTCAGCAAATGAAGCGATATATAAATATACAGGCATTCTTATTAAATTACTTTATCGATTTCATATAGAATTTCATATTAAAATTAATATACACAATGCAAATTCAAAAGAATTCACTAATAGAATCTTCACGTACTTTCCGAGTATATTATTAATACTGAGAAGATACAAAATTGAAATGTTCAAGAAGTTCCTCTATTAATTTGTCTTCAATTTTCTTCAATAATTTTCATCCACAAAAAAAAATCCGATATATTGAATATATAGGAATATCTCTTGATGTGTGTTACTCATGTCTATTGCATTGAAACGATTTTTCTTGAACTTTAATAAATTTAATCAAAAAGTAAGTGCCGTAAGTGTATCATTTACTATAATTTCATAGAACTAATTACATTTCATTTATTACAGTAATGAATGATATATTGATTTTCCTTAATTACAGAGTACCGATAATTTAAGCAGATATCAGTTGTAAGCATTCGCAAACAACTAACTACTAACGGATTTCACTCGCTCTACATACCTAGCTCTGCATACAGATTACTCGGTATAAGGAAAACTAATTAATGTGAATAGCATTTTACAGTTTAGATGAAATCCCTCCTTCTATGAATAACGAAAAACGTTTCGTATTTATTAACTGCCACTTGTCTTTCATTAAACAATCAATGTGTATATATATACGATATCACTTATATTTAATTACTTGGTCCGAGGTTTATCCAAATATATGGAGTTGTCTAAAAGTTTCCTCGCATCGGATCGATGAATCAGTCAACTGCCCATCCGCATTAAGCATTAAGAAAATAGACGGACAGCGTGTATAACTTACATGCCTAATAAGTATTTGTTATCTTAGCTATTTTTAACGCGCCAAATTCTAGTTTTATTAGCAAAACTTTGCCGGGGTTTTCGCAATCGATAGCATAACTTT